AGAATCTTCTTTGTAGAATTTCTTTAATGGTATACCAAAAAAAAAAAAAAAAAAGGCATACCTGTCCAGGCATAACTTCACCATTGATTCCACTTATGTTAATACCAGCATAAAGACAGGCTTTATAGTGAGAGTCAACAATGTCTCGGCCAAATGCCTTGTCAGCTCCTACTCCACAATAGTATGGACCCTGTAGGGATATAAAACTTGGTTAAATGGTGGAAACAGAACCCAAAGAACCAAAAAGGTCCAGTGAAAATACAGACCTGTGGACCAGGATAGCCACCAACAGGCCATCCAAGTGGCCATTTTACATCCTTCCGAAGGAGGGTGTATTCCTGCTCAATGCCATACCTAGTTCAACATAAAAATAAAGCTTCATTCATAAAAATGACGCTTAAGGAAGAAGGATAGGAAATCTAACAAGAAGAGAAATATGCATAGGTTATTCCAAAGGGTAAATAATCCAAAAGTGGATGGCTGGATGCACTTAAATTTTGAATAATCAAAAGAGATATAACCTTTATTGGATTTTAAGATTGTTTAATGCCAAATCATTCACAGGCCTTTACCTTATCGTAGCTGTAAAGGATTTTTAAAGTTGTTTAATGACAAATTCTTCACAGTTAAAGTTTAAGAGAATACTGCATTTCACTTAATAGTAATAATTCAAAAGTTGACAAACTTTTGAGATGGGGGCTTCAAAACCGTAGGGAGGGTTGGAACACCTTCGTACTCTGTTTATAATAAAATATTTTATTATGGATAATAAAAAAAAAAGTTCAGAACTGATTATTGCCACATAACCAAATGTTATGGGCGCATAAATCATAATTTTTTTTTTTCTTAAACAGCAAGTTATGAAGTTTTAAAACAGTAGTTTATAGACTAATTTCAATCTATTAACAAATAATCAGCTGTTCTTAATAGTCAAACTAATCAAAGTTAAAATATTTGAAGATAATGATTAGAAATTTGTGTGATATTTTTTTATATGACAACAACCATGCTAGAATTTAAGTAGCAAGAGTTGATTTTCTTAAGTAAATATTTTTTTTTTTTTGAAAACAATTTTTTTTTAATCTTTTATTTTACTAAAGATGAGAGGGAATGGGCTGGAATGGTCTCCACTTTAAGGTAGGTTCACCTACTCTAGAGCACTGAGGAAAAGTTTATACCATATATCATGCGAAAAGAACGTATGGTTTGCATAGAGGTTATTATTTTATTTACTTATATTTATTATTTTCAACATCATCGGCAGTTGGGAGCTGACTAGGTTTGATGTTAGTTTCACACTACCAAACATAATTACTCTGAATAGGTGCAAGAATTAAAAATAGCTGGTCCATACAATTACATTAGTCAAACATCTTAAAGCAGTAGATTCCTGTTAAAAATCTTCCTTTGCGTGGAGATTATTGGTGTGTGGGCTCTTCATCATACAAAAATACAAAAAAGCAAAGATCAACTCAATTCCACACCTCAGATCTCACTGGCACAAAATGGACAAAGAGAAAAGTAAAAGAAAGAGGTGCTGGAAAAGAAAATAAGTTTGAAAGAAACTACAGAATATGGGAGGCCATTATATTTTAGTCTAAACAATTGCTCCTCTAGCTTTTATTTTTGTTTTTATTTATTTTTTCCTTTTATGAACAAAGAGAAATGAGGGTATATACAGAGAAACCATAAAATAAAAAAACTTTTATGAACAAAGAGAAATGAGGGTATATACAGAGAAACCATAAAATAAAAAAAATTAAGGATTTAATCATTTTAGATGGAATACCCTTATACATAAATGACTGTTTAACGTTCTTTTCTAAGAGAGAACAATTGAATTAGCAGTTGAAGGACTAGCTCAGGTACGACTTTGAATGGTCTTTTTAGACAAAGTAATTTTATTTATGTCGAAGACAAAGTAACTTTTAAAGAATAGACTTTCCACTTTATATCATAAAGAGAAAATGCCAAAATCAACATAATTCAATAAACCTAATTCTAATTATCACTAACTCTAAGATAATAAATAAGATATAATTTCATTTATCAAAAAAAAAAAAAAGATATAATTTCACTAAAATACTCTTAAATTAATCTTACACTATTGAGAGATAAGCATTTTTATCTGGACTTTTTTAATTAATCAAAGTAAATGATTGCATCAATGTTTGAGCGTACCATTTCAACGCACTCCTAGAGTTAAGAAAGATTGTCTTACGATTGAATATATATTTATATTTTTTTTTACATTGGACTATTATTCACTCTATCAGTTTAACTTTAGTAGATTTAATTTCTTATTTAAGTGTTCAAATTTAATTATTTATTTTTTTAAGATGACATTTAATGTTTTTATTCATAATTCGCATTTATTTAAAGGATAATTATAACATATATTGAATAGGAAGTCTTATGTAAGTGATACTAATGATAAATATTTTATTAATAAATTATTACATTTTTATTTTATTAAAAAAACTAATACGCTATTTGAATTAATTTTTTCAAAATAATTAATAATTGATAATTACTGATAATTATTAATATTTATAATTTAAAATATTTAATTCATTTAATTAAAATCAACAACTAATAACTATTTTGAATAAGTTAAAACAAATGCCCTATAAGTCTATTAAAAATGAACCGAGTAAGTGGTTGCCCGTTGCCTTAAGGTTACCGAAAACAAGCAATTCCTACTTGTCATTTTTTAATCATTTGATTTTTTTCGTACATTTCAACTCCTTGTTAATGCACAAAATAATTTCATTTTCTTGTTGAGTAGTTGACGGGCACAAGAAGCCTACCAAAGCCTGCACGTGGCAGAAAGCCACCAAATCTACCTTCTGGGCAAATTGCAAAATGTTCGATGAAAAAAATGAGAGCACTACGGACGTACATAATTTTATGGTTAAATTCAATAAAAAAAATTTATTAATTATGTGATTTATTTTATTTTAATTTAAAAATAATTTTTTCTTTTAAAATGATCTATAAATTATCAATTTTGTTTTAAAATGTTCAACTTAACAAATATTCTGTTAATTGACTAACAGAATTCTTTCTTGACAAGCTGCCCCTAAACTTTTGAAAAATGTTAAATTTAGTATATGTATTTTTGTTTTTTTTTTTTTGTAATATTTTGTTTTTGAAGTTTAAATTCTATGTCAAATATAATAATTAATTAAGATAATAATTTTAATTTACATTGATCAATATTATAATTTTAATTTACAACAACCAATATTATAATTTAAATTTTATTATTTCTTAAAAAACTTAATATCATTATTAAATTAGATATTTTTTCCTACTTTGTATAGAAAAATAAAAAATTTTAATTTTATTTTTAACACTAATAATATATGCATGATTTTAATTTGGAGATTTATAAAATTGAAATGAATTTTTATTTTTTTCGGGTAATTTTAATTATATGTGAATGCTCATTTAATTAAATTAAATTTTGGAAGGGTTTATTTATTAAAAATATTAATAT